GAAAAAGGGTGGGGGGTGGGGATTAGTGATAGGCGCAGGATGGGAGTGGGGGCTGGGAGTTGCAGGTCACCTGGATGATACTAGTTCCATTTCTGAAGTTGGTGAAACTTCGCATTACATCCTGACTCAGAGACTCCACCGATGATTTCCAGGAACTACCAAAGCCACGGATCAGCTGAGTAACACGGGCTGATGGTAGGAGGAAAGAGAGAGTGCCAGATAAGGACTAGGCTAAATGATCTTTGACCTCACAAAATCCTCCCCAAGGCACAGCCATCCTCACCATCCAGCCCCTTTTCTCTGGTGGTCTCCCACCCATTCTTACCTGCTCCACCCACTCCCCACGCAATCCCCATCCTCTCATTTTTCATTTCCAGTCACCTTACCACTGGCCCCCTCTCTCTACCACACCATCCTCATACCTTCTTCCCCTCGAAGTCGCTCAGCCTGTCCACGCTCAATCAGAGCCTCGGCCTCCTTCACAAATGCCACCAAACCACCAAAAGGGGGAGAGAGCAACTCTTCAATGAATTCCTGGAGAAACACACACACACAGTTGAGTGTCCTGCTGTCAGCAGATTTTTCCAATTCTGGCATTATGACCCACTAAGTCCTTAGAACACTCCCACAGCAAAGGTCATATACTTTAAGACACTGCGGTCTCACTAGAGGTAGGGGAAATCTTCAAGGTTCCCCTTCCTAAAAAACAGAAACAAAATTTCAATGGGAGCAGAGCAACAAGAAACTGGGGTCAGGGCTGGAACCAGAGGAGTGGGTGCTGGGAGAGGCAGGGCTACAAGAAGGCAAATGGCCATGGCAACTCTGCTATCTGGAAACAGCCTGATGCCAGTCTCTCATGAGAGCCACAAGAGGTGCTGATGTAAACCCAGGTGGATGGCATCTTTCAGCTCTTGCAAAAGTAGAGGCAACTCCTTTCTGAAGGAAAATATTCTCAATTCCAACTTAGGCCCATATGACTCCTCCTGATTGAGATCAAGCAATGAACTCAAAGATCACCAGATATATAAGAAAGCAATGAGAGTTAGTGTAGACAATAAGTAATGGCCTGAGACCTACAAAAACTGCCAGCATCAGAACTGTCAGATACCGACATATGGTTGTACATTCTTTTTAATCTTCACTGAAGGATATTTTTTCCATTGCTTTTTCAGAGAGAGTGGAAGACGGAGGAGAAAGAGGGAGAGAGAAATATCAATATGAGAGAGACACATCAATTGGTTGCCTCCTGCATGAGCCTGCTACCGAGGTACATGCCCTTGGCCAGGATCGAACCCTGGACCTTCAGCCCACGGGCTGACGCTCTAACCACTACGCTGGGCAAAACCAGCTAGGGCTGGTTGTACATTCTTTATGAAATGTTTAAAGAAGTTAAAAATACAAAGATAAGCAGTTAACAAGATGGAATTTTTTAGAAATTATTTAAAAATAAAAAATGTTTTAGGAGTTCTGGTCATGATGGTATAGGTAAATGCAGTACTTGAATCCTCCCACAACCACATCAAAATTACAACTAAACTACAGAACAATCATTCAGAAAGCCTGAAATCTAGCTGGAAAGAAATCCTACAACTAAGGATATAAAGAAGCCACATCAAGACTGGTAGGAGGGGTGGAGACGCAGAACGGGCTGGTCCCACGCCCACATGTGGCAGATAAATATCATAAATATCGGGATATCTCAGCTGTACAGGTCTCCCTGGGGAGCGAAGGGATGCCAGCCGAGGGTTCCAGTGCCAGGAAGAGAAGTCCCCATAACTTCTGGCTGTAAAAACCAATGGGGATTGTGGGTGAATGAGACATGTGCTGTAATATAGAATACACACCAGACTTCGGAAAATTCATACAGAAAACATTTTTAAATAAATAATTACTAATTTTTGTTGATTCTATTTTGAAAAGATAATATTTTGGATATAGTGGTTTAAATAAAATATATTATTAAATTCACTTCACCTGTTTCTTTTTAATTTTTAAAATGTAGCTATTGGAAATTTTAAAATTAGTTAAGTGGTTCATATTATGGCATGCATTATATTTCTATTGGACAAGCACTGATCTAGACTTGGTCTAAACTTTCTTTAAGTTCTCTACCCAGCAAAAGGGAATATTCTCATAGCAGAGGAGTGACCAGAGGGAGAAAGCACACACTGGGCTTGGGCTAGCAATCCTTCCCACATAATATCAAGCAGCAGCCCACCAAAAGGGACTGGGAGCACAGGTTAACAGCTGGCTCCCCACCCTGGCAAATTCCATGGCACCTCAGCTGTTCTCAGCAGTCCACCAGTTTAAGTGCATCTTGTGGGATCAGCGGATCTACAGAATTACATTTCTGAAGGCAGAGCTGACATTCCCTCAGGTCACCCAACTAGGCAGGTGAGGACAATGGTTTCCTTTGTCATCTAATTACATGTTATTTTACTAAAAGGAGAGAAAAGAATGGGAAAGTTTAACCTATAACTAATCAGACCCCAGAAGAAAGATGGAGGAAAAGCAATGTTTAAAAAGATACTGGCTGTGAATTTTCCCCAATTAATTACAAAGGTAAACTCAAAGACCCAAGAAACACAACAAGATACCAAAAAATAAACAAAGAGAAACCCATATCCAGACATATTGTTGTAAAACTTCAGAATACTAAGGAAAAAAGAGGGGCTCTTTAAGAGCAGTCACAGAGAACAGACTGCCTTCAAAGGAACAACAATTAGAACAGCAGCAGACTTCTTCACAGCAATACTTTAACAGTGGAAAATTGTCCTCTAAATGTTGAGAAAAAATAACTGTTAACTTAGAATTTGACAGTAAGACAGCAAAACTCTTTTTTCCGAACAAAGAAGAAATAAAGACATTTGTATAAAAATAAGGTTTATTACCAATAAACTTTCACAAAGGAATTTCTAAAAAAGTTGCTTCAGGAAGAAGGAAAATGATCCCAAAAAGATCATCAAGTTTTAAGAAGGAATGATGAGGAAATAAGCTGGGAAACATTCATGGAAATCCAAATAAATAGTATCACTATAAAATAGCAACAATTAAAGGTAGGAAATAAATAAAATGCTGGTCAATAATTAGCATGGAAGACAGGAGGAGGAGGAGTGACTGGAGCATTAAAACATTTAAAATGTATTGTTTGAGAGAGGGGTTAAATATTAAGTTTATATATTAAATTAAATATGTAAGGCAAAATTTAAAGGACAAATTCCAAAAGAAGGAAGTACAAAATGCAAACACTTAGAGAGAAAAATAATGTAAAATTATTTTTACATTAAGAAAAACAAAGACAAGAAGCACAAATGACACAGCACAAATAGAAAACTAAAGATGACAAAAACAAGTCAAAATATAACGTTAATCATAATAAACATAAATGGATTAAAATCACAACTTAAAAGGCAGAGATAATCCAACTGGATTTTTTTAAATTCCAGGTATATGCTATTTACAGAAAATGTGAAAACATAAAAAGGCTGAAAGCAAAAGAATGGAAATAAATTAATAAGCAAATATTAACCAAAATAAAGCTGGCAAAACTATGTTAATATCAGACATAATAGGCTTTATGACAAAATTATTAGGGCTAAGGTGGGTCCTTATATAGTGACAAATACTTCATGTCATCAGTAAGAGCTAATGGCTCTAAACTTTTAAGAATTCAGATAAACTAAGTCTCCAATCATGGCCATCCCATGGCTTCCCAGGAGAGGGCAGAGGCAGTTACCAAAGGAATGGGATTCGGGCGCTGCCCCAAGCAGGCCACTTACACCCGTGGGACCTGAGAGCTCCTCAGAGGAGATTTAGAGAAGGAGAAATGAAGACTCCAAGATATCTTTGCTACAGAGAACAAACAGGAATGGGAAAGAAAGCCTCCTCCTGTGCAACAGGAGAACCCAGCCCCTGAGCTGGACCAGTCTGAAGAACTGGTGAAGGAAATCTGGGAGAGGAAAAAATTCCTGTCTGAAATAGAAGCCCCAGGAGAGAGCAGACAGTACTGAGGGATCATCCTTGCTGAAATCTCCCAGAAACTACAGGAAATGTAAGACACTGACCACAAGAGGAGTGAGGAGTTTAGGAAGGCTCTTGTCACCACTGAAGCTGTCTCCGGAGATGGTGGCAGAATAGCCCAACCTTGACCACTGGGGCTCCCCCCTTGCCAAGCAGGGTCATCCCCATCCTGGCCTTCAGCCATGTCAAATGGTCATACAGAACTGCACAGGCCTAGGGTACCATGAGCATATACAACACCCTAGAAAATGGACCACATCAGAGAATGAGCTGATTCTCCTTGAGACTGTGCCCAGGGATGCTGGGTCAGCTGTGCCTCTGAGACCCAGTCACAGACACACACAACTTCTAATCTTTTCTTGGGGAAAAAGCCCCATATACCGTGAAGGCAAGTCCCAAGTCTTACCATCTTGGGCAAGTGTCTAAGGGCATACAATAAGCCCTCTTACCACCATCTTCTCCCGCTCTGTGTCCCCACACTTGGTTTTCAGTACTTAGGAACGAATACGACTCCTCCTTCCTACCTGTCTTGGGACCTACTTATTTGACTTCTTCCAGCCTTAGTAAGTATTTAACCACTACGATTAACTGGCCAATAAAAAACACATTTAACACGGGTTAAAAAAACCCCAACAATTTAGATAAATGAAGCTGAAACTACATAAAGCAAAACTTGATAGAAATGCAGGGAAAAAGTGACAAATCTATGAATTTCAAAATATCTCTCTCGATTACTGATAAGTAGACAAAAATAATCAATAAATGCATAGATGATGTAAAAAGCACAATTAAAAAGCTTGACCTTCATACCCGACAAATACAGATTCTGCTCAGACACACATGGAACATTTACAAAAGTTGATTATGTACCAGGCCACAAACAAATTTCAAAGAATCAGTACCAAAAAAAACACATTCTCCATCCACAATGCAATTTAGACATTAATAACAAAGATAAATAAGAAAACTTTTAGAAATTTAAAAACACTCTTCCAAAAATCTCATGATCAAATAATTGAAATATAAAATTCTTTTTATTTTATTTTTTGCTAATCCTCACCCTAGGATTAAAAAATATATATGCCCGCCCTAGCCAGTTTTCCTCAGTGGTTAGAGCGTAGGCCCTCGGACTGAACAGATACTTTTTCCATTGATTTTCAGAGTGTAGAAGGGAGGAGGGGAGAGAGAGAGAGACAGAGACATCATTGTGAGGGAGACACATCAATTGGTTGCCTCTGCCACATACCCCGACTGGAGCAGGGATCAAACCTGAAACCCAGGTTATGTGCCCTTGACTGGGAATCCAACCTGAGACCCTCTGGTGCACAGGCTGAAGCTCCAACCCCTGAGCCAAACTGGCCAGGACTGAAATATAAAATTCTTAAAGATAAATGACAAAAAACTGCTACATATTCAAACCTACAGAATTCAAAAAATGCAGTACTTAGACAGACATACCCTGGTTGCAGGTTCACTGCCCCCCCCCACCTCATGGAGGCGCATGTGGGAGGCAACCGATCGATGTGTCTCACATCAATGTTTCTCTCTATCCCCCCCCTCCTCCCTTCCACTCTCTCTAAAAATCAATGGAAAAAATATCCTTAAAAAATATCCTCACTCCTTGGATGATTAAAAATAACAATAATAATAATTATTATTATTATAAACTATATGATTATCTCAACAGTTTCAGAAAAAGCATACATCCTTGATTAAAAATTCAATACTCATTCATGATTTTTAAAAATAGTAACTCTTGCTATAGTAGGGATTGAAAGAAATTTTCATAACCTGACAAAGGGCATCTATAAGAAAATCTACAATAACATTACTCTTAATGGGGAAATGATGAAAGCATTCCTTTTAAAATTAGGTAAAGATAAGTGTTCTCACTATTACCACTTCAATTATTCATCTCTGTCCTGGAGGTACTAGTAAGTGGAGTAAGAAAATAAGGACATAAGAAATTAAAGACATAAGGATTAGAAAGGAAGAGCTAAAACTGTCATAAATCATAGATGATGAATCCCTACATGAAACATACACACAATTATCCAGAAATACTAGTAGAAATAATAATTTAGGAAGGTGGCTGGCTATACGGTGAGTATACAAAAATCAATAACATTTCTATATCCCGGTTCAAACAACAAGAAAATTTCTTTTTCACCCTGGCCGGGTAGCTCAGTTGGTTAGAGTGTTGCCTAGATAAACCAACGTTGCAGATTCGATCCCTGGTCAAGGCACATATAAGAATCAACAAATGAATGCAGGGATAAGTGGAACAGCAAATCGATGTTTCTCTCTCTCTTTCCATTCCTCTCTCTAAAATCAATCAATCAATCAATAGAAATTTTTTAAAAGAAAATTTCTTTTTCAAAAGATAACATTTAAGTAACGAGTATATTTAAAGAACAAATTCTGAAAGAATAGAGTAGAAAATCCAAACAGTTACAGAGGAAAAAAAGTACCCATTATTCCTAGTTATTATTCCTAAATCAATCCCTAAATAAATGTAGATTGATTCCCAGTAGGAATAACTACAATAACAACTCCTAGCACACTAGGGATTAAAAGGAATTTTCTTAACATGATAATGGGCACCTACAAAATACCCACAGCTACAGCCCTCTTAATAGGGAAACGATGAAAGCATTCCTTTTAAAGTCAGGAACAGGATAAGGGTTCTCACTATTACCCTTCTATTTAATTATTCAACACTCACAGAGGTCCCAGCCAGAACAGAGGATTAGAAAGAATTCATTTATTTATTCCAAGTAGGACTAAATCTACATGTGACCCCTACCAAGGAATAACAAACAAAAGATTTGTAATGTCTTTGTGCTGAAAGTTATAAAAGATTATCAAAAGGCATTAAAGAATATGTTTTTAAAAAGGAGAGGGAACCCATGTTCATGAGCAGTAAGTGTCAACATCATGAAGTATCAGTTCTTCCAAATCGATCTACATTGATCAATGCAATTCCAATCAAATTCCTTAATGGGGTTTTTTATGTGAAAATTTACAAGCTGATTATAAAATTTATATGGAAAATCAAACTGCCAATAATACTCAACATACTGATGAAAAAGAAGTTAGGAGAATTTGCCCTATAAAGCATAATAATTAAGATGGCATTGCAGGGTAGACAAATTGACCAATGGGACAGAATAAAGGCAAGACCCACATCTTTGTGGAGCTTTGCTATGTGACAGAGACCGCACTGCAGATCAAGTGGGGAAAGAGATTTTCTATAAATGGTTCTAAGCGAATCATTATCCATACAGAAAAAATTAAATTAGATTCCTACCTCATATCATACACAAAAATCAATTCTAGGTAAATTTAGGAGTTTAAAGTAAAAAAGCAAAATTCTACAATATTAAGAAAACTGTAATATTTTCCTGACCTTGGAATAATAAGGGATTTCTTAAATAAGACACAAAAATAAAGATTATAAATTCAGCCCTGGTGGTGTGACTCAGTTGGTTGGGCATCGCCCTGTGCACTGAAAGGTCGCCAGTTCGAACCTCGGTCAGGGCACATGCCCAGGTTTCAGACTCATTCCTCGGTAGGGAATGTGCAAGAGGCAGCCAATCGATGTTTCACTTTCACATTGATGTTTCTCTCTTCCTCTCTCAAAAAATCAATTAAAAATCTTTTTAAAAAAAGATTATAAATTCAATCATATTACAATTAGGATTTCTGATTATCAAAAGACAACATAAAGGAGATAAAATGTATATTGAGAAATATCTGCAATTTATATAATCAAAACCAACAGAAGATCAGTATGTAGAATGTATAAAAAATTCTTTTTGTTGTTGTTGTTAATCCTCAACAGAGGACATTTTTTCCATTAATTTTTATTTTTTTAAAAAATATATCCTTATTGATTTCAAAGAGAGGAAAGGATGGGGAGAGAGAGAGATAGAAACATCAATGATGAGAGAGTCATTGATCGGCTGCCTAGCCCGCAACCCGGGCATGTGCCCTGACTGGGAATCAAACCCCGATCGCCTGGATCCTAGGTCGATGCTCAACTGCTGAGCCACGTCCGGCTGGGCAATTAATTTTTTTAGAGAGAGTGGAAGGGAGGGGGAGAGACACAGAGAGAACCAATGATGTGACAGAGACACATAGATTGGTTGCCCCCCTCATGTGCCCTGACCAGGGCCGGGGAATCGAAACCTCAGCCCTTCAGTCCACAGGCCGACACTCTAACCACTGAGCCAAACTAGCCAGGGCAAGAACTCTTTTTTAAAAAAATGTTTTTATTGCCCAGATGGGAGTGGCTCAGCAGCTGAGCATTGACCTAGGATCCAAACGATCAGGGTTCGATTCCTGGTCAGGGCACATGCCCGGGTTTCGGGCTGGGTCCCCCATCGAGCGCGTGCAGGAGGCAGCTGATCAAAGACTCTCTCATCATTGATGTTTCTCTNCCCCCATCGAGCGCGTGCAGGAAGCAGCTGATCAAAGACTCTCTCATCATTGATGTTTCTCTCTCTCTCCCTCTCCCTTCCTCTCTCTGAAATCAATAAAGACATATTTTAAAATAATGTTTTTATTGACTTTTAGAGATAAAACATATGAAAAAAACTTATCTACATCTATGCGCACTAAAAGACATAACTGTTCAAAACAAACAAACAAACAAACAAACAAACAAAATTGAAACAACTCATAGACTCAGAGTGAACTAGTGGTTGCTAGATGGGAGGGGGTTTGAATGACTGGGTGAAAAAGGTGAACGGATTAACAAGTACAAATTGGTAGTTGCAGAAGAGTCACGGGGATGTAAAATACAGCATAGGGAATATAGTCAGTAATATTGTCAAAGAACTTATATACATATATGCATAGCCCACGGACACAGACAATAGTACAGTGAAGGCTTGGGGTGGGGGTGGGGAGCCAGGTGGAGGTGGGCAAAGGGGTGAAAATAGGGGACACATCTGTAATACTCTCAACAATAAAAGTAAATTTAAAATAATAATAATAATACTGTAATAACTATGTATGGTGCTAACTGGGTACTAGAAATATTGGGGGAACATTTTGTAAAGTATATGATTGTCTAACCACTATGCTGTATACACCTCAAACTAATACAAAATAATATTGAAAGGAAGCTGTAATTGAAAAATTAATATGAAAATGATAAAAAGGACATAACTTCATAAAAATGCCCACAGCAGCAAAAAACTGGAAATAATCCAAATGTCCTCTTTCAGGAACACATTATATTCATGTAAGTCACATGATCCAACAATGAAAAAAATGAGGTACAGCCCTGTACAACAACATGACCATATTAGAAAAATTGTGCATGAAGAAGTCCTGATCCCATTTTTACAACACTCAAAAATATAACTAAATAATTATTGTTTTGGCATAGGTACATCTATATTTTTAATTAATTTTTAGAGAGAGAGGAAGAGAAACCCTGATTTGTTCCACTCAATGATGCACTCATTGGCTGCTTCTTGTGTGCACCCTGACCAGGAATTGAACCCACAACCTTGGAGTATCGAGACGATGATCTAACCAACTGAGCTATCTGGCCGCGGCTTAGCTATAATTATATTTTTATTTATTTATGTATTTAAAATATATCTTTACTGATTTAAGAGAGAGGAAGGGAGGAAGAGATAGAAACATCAATGAAGAGAGTCATCGATTGGCTGCCTCCTGCATGCCCCCTGACTGGGGATCAAGCCCGTAATCCGGGCATGTGCCCTGACTGGGAATCAAACCACAATCTTCTGGATCCTAGGTTGATGCTCAACCACTGAGCCATGCCCGGCCGGGCTATAGCTATATTTTTAAAAGCAAGGGCATGATAAACACAGCATGTAGGTCACCAGGTGCTTCTATGTCAGAGGCAGGGAGATGCAATGAAGAGGAATTCATACTCTAAGATTGGTTATTGCCAAAGTGTCTTGTGGGCTCATGGGTGTTTATACCATTTTAAAAGATACAAAATAGACCAATAATGGCAGCATGTTGTGAACTAAGAGTTATAATAATTCTAATTCTGTGTAAATGGTGTCCATTAACTGCCACTTTATTTTCCCCACTCCCTACCTGTGTCCGAGCATTGAGCAGCTGCTGGAAGCTCTCAACCTCCTTGCTGTCGTCCGCAGCCCGTTCCTAAGGGAAGACAAAGGGAAACCTCAAGTTCGGGACAGGCACTCACTGCAGGAAACTTCCTTCCTTCCGCAGTCACTGCACTTAGCCAGACGCTGTGCCAGACTCCAGAACAAACCACTGAACCAACAAAAGCCTGCCCTCAGAGTTGCCAGAAGAGTGGGGCAGCTGATTCTGCAGGCAGGGAAAGAGGAGAGCAGGGGCGTCCGTTACCATCAGCACGCCCAGCATCATGTCATAGTTGTTGATCAGAAACACAAGCTGCTCCTTCCTTGAGGAGAACTCAGCTGCCACTCGGAGGACAAAGTTCTCCACTTCCACCTGAAAAAGCCGAAGGAGGTGACAGGAGGTGAGGGCACACGGCCCCTCCTCACACTCCCACGGCTTCAGCGGGAGCTGCCCCTCACCTGGAGCTGCCCCAGCAGCTGCATCGTCCGCTCGTTGGGAATTGTCTGATTGATGCTGACAAGAGCAGACGAGAACTCTGCATATCGGCGTGTGATCTGGGAAAAAGAAGGTGGGAAGAAAAATCACCCCACCCCCCTGACCCAGCCAACACAACCTCCCAGCTCCCCTGAGCTGGCCAACCAACCTGTAACTCCCGCCTCCAATCCTATGACCAGCGCCCAACCGCCCTGAGTGTAGCACACTCTTGGACTGCCCCTCACACCATATGGCTAAACATCCCACAGGACCAAACAACCACATAGACCTCCCCCGAAACTGAAGCTTAGAGCCCAGCCCTTCAGGAACCCCTCTGTTACCCTCGCCCTCCCTCACATAGTGGGGCCGAGTATCCAGCCCCCCAAGGCGCTGAGGGTCAGTGCTTCGGACACTCTGCACATTCATCTCCAGTATCAGCTCAAACCGTGGCCACAGCAAGGCAAGCACCTGCTCCCAGTACCTGTGGGCTTAACCAGAATCAGCCATCAGCTGGCCAGCAATGTGAGAGGCGGGGTGG